CTGCAGCTCTTATTACTTAGAACTCGTTACAGTGGTCGAATGGCCTACAGTCTTTATATAGACCATTATGATCTCGGCTACTACTAGGGAAAATAGAAGAAGGACAGGGTTTAGTGCAAATCGTCTCATGCGGCAGTGGGCAGCCCATTACGAGAGCACATGTGGACTTGGGTTGTTGGTCACGGTCCAATACGCTCCCACAAGCTGAGCGGTGAAGGTCACGAACGTTCAGCTTAGACAAAAGAAACCGAAAACGATCAGCACCTAATCCTTTGGTAAAAAGATCAACTAGCTGGAGATGAGAACTGATCTTGAGAGGGAGGATGTCACCAGAAACAACTCTCTCTCGTACAAAATAACAATCCATTTCGACATGCTTTGTCCGCTCATGAAAGACCGGATTAGTAGCAATATGTAGTGTTGCCTGATTATCACAGTACAGAGGAGTAGGACGAAGCTGAGGAACACCGAGCTCATGTAGTAACCAACGTAACCAGAGAAGTTCACTGACAGTACTAGCCATAGCACGATTTTCAGCCTCATCAGAAGAGCGCGCTACCACCTTCTGTTGCTTCGTACGCCAGGAGACTGGAGCCGAACCAAGAGATATAAAGACCTTGACCTGGTGAAGTCTTCAGGTACCGCAGGATGCGCATCCCAGCATCCATATGAGCCTGTGTAGGTGCATGGACAAAGCGACTAAGGATATTCACACCATATGTAATATCCGGATGAGAAACAGTCAGATAAAGCAAACGCCCAATCAACCGACGATAGGCTGACCCATCAACAAGAGTAGCAGATGAAGGTTTGGTGAGTTGGTGATTTTGCTCCATCGGGAAAGCACTAGGACAAGAACCAAGAACACCTGCTTCGGCAGGAATGTCAAGGACATATTTCCGCTGACTGATAACAATACCACGAGGAGAAAAAGCCACCTCAAGACCCAAAAAATAACGTAGAACTCCGAGATCCTTGTCCCTTGATGCTGAATTTTTTGTCAAGAAACCCCTTAACATGATTAATGAAACCCATATCATTCCTAGCTAGGATCACATCATCCACGTATATAAGAGCAGTGACAAACACATCTCCATTCTTATAGGTAAAAAGAGAATGATCAGCTGGAGAAGCGCGAAAACCAAGGTCACCAAGAGAGGTCGTGAATTTTTTATACCAATTCTGTGACGCCTGACGAAGTCCATAAATGGATTTGTGTAGTCTGCATACACGAGCATCACTATCAACACCAAAACTAGGGGGAACTTTCATATAGACTTCCTTGGTCAGATAACCATGGAGGAAGGCGTTGTTGAAGTCAAGTTGATGAAGGAACCAACCCCGACTAGCAGCAACCGCTAGAAGACAGCGAACTGTGACCAACTTAGCGACTGGGGCAAAAGTATCGTAAAAATCGACGCCCTCGATTTGGGTATAACCCTTAGCAACCAACCGAGCTATGTAGCGCTCAACCAAACTGTCAGGACGATATTTAACCTTGAAAACCCACTTAGAATCAATGCATCCCTTCCCAGGGGGAAGATGAACAAGTTCCAATGTGCCATTGGCCTTGAGTGCCACAATTTCTTTAGCCATAGCCTCGTGCCAATGAGCGTGACGTACTGCCTCCTTAAAGGTCCTAAGCTTGGGTATGCGATTCACTGAGGCAAGGAAAGTTTGGTACGAAGGGGTGACTCGATCACAAGAGACTTGATGAGAAATGGGGTACCTCACGTGAGAAGCTGACGTGAGGTTACAGTTTCATAGATATCAAGCTTTCATGTAGGTCGACGGTCCCGCAAGCTACGACGAAGTGGAGGTTCAGTGGCATTAGGAACCGGAGATTTTGAAGACTGAGGGGGTGAAGACTCGGGTGAGACGCCCCATGTTGCGGAGAGCTCGACTGGTGGTCCGGTGAGACAGCTACTAGCTCCACATGAAATGGTGACTCCAACGTGGGAGACGCTGAGGTGGAGTGATCGAGAACCTGGTCGCCAGAAAGATCATTAACTGGCGCTGAAGAATCCGCAGCTCCTACATGATCATCGCACAACTCCAAGATCGCTGGAGGTGACAGACAGTGAAACTCGCGAGGATCCTGCGCACGAAAAGGAAAGAAATTGTCATGAAAAACTATATCACGTGAAACTTGAATTTTACGTGTAAGAAAGTCATAGATTTTGTATCCCTTTTGTGTAGCAGCGTAGCCCAAGAATACGCCTGCACGACCACGATCGGCGAACTTATGGAGTCCGCCATGAGTATCCTTCGCGTACACAAGACAACTGAAAATGCAAAGATGGGAATAAGATGCAGGTTTGCCGAAGAGGAGCTCATATGGAGTCTTCCCTGTGGCAGACGTGGGAATGCGATTAATGAGGTATATTGCTGTGAGAATGCATTCGCCCCAAAAACGAATGGGAAGACCGGCATGAAACCTGAGTGCTCGAGCTACTTCAAGAATATGCTGATGTTTACGTTCTACCACTCCTTTTTTTGGGGGGGAGTATCTGTGCAACTTGTCTGAAGAACTATACATGCCTGCTCATAATAATCACGCAGGGCTGAAGTAGAAAACTCCAAAGCATTGTCAGCTTGGATCCGACGAACTTTACGTCCAAACTACGTATGAGCCATCTTACAGAACATAGTGATATAACGAGCTACCTCGGACTTGAATTTGATAAGATAGACCCAAACACCACAACTGTAATCATCAACAATCGTCAAGAAATAATAAGCGCCACTAGTGGATGCAGTTTGATAACCTCCCCAAATATCCACATGACTTAACTCAAAACAATGTGTTGTCTTAATTGAGCTGAGTGGGAAAGGAGTTCTACTCTGTTTGGCACGAAAACATGAGTGACATGGGGAATTATTTTTTACATAGAAATAAAACATTTGAGCTGGTGAAGCATCTCCAACGAAAGATGTCCCAAACGAGCATGCCATGTCTCCTCCGGTATTTTGCGACCTCCATCAACCGAAAAAGCTACTTGTTCATTCTCGCCGAACAACTTCAAGTAATAGAAGCCATCACGGAGAATCCCCTTCCCAATCACGCTCCTGGAGTGTAAGTCCTTAAGAATTCATAGGTCACACAAGAATATTATAACCACAATGTTGTTTTTGGTTAACCTGCTGACCAACAACAAATTACACTAGATATCTGGAACGTAAAGAACGCGATCAAGTTTGACCCCAGATTTCAAAATTATAGAGCCAATCCCCTTGACTGGCATGCTATCACCATTTGGAATTTTAACCAGTTGAACAACATCAGTAAGCAATTCACCATTAAATAGAGAAGCAACCGGAGTCTATTAACCTTTGCTGGCATGCTATCACCTTTGCTATGTGTTCGTTGCAACCGGAGTCTATTAACCATTCATAACCACCAAATGACGTACCTGCCATGTGGGCCGAGGGGTCCTCAACTCTTCGAGACATATTAAAAAACTTACGAAGCTAGTCGAGCTGCGCCATCGTGAAACCCTGCACCGGGCTAGCATCGGACTCAGCTGCGACTGCCTTCGGAGTGCGCTCCCTCCGATTTGGGCGTCGGCGATCCTTTTGCTCTCCTTTGTCACTTCTGTCTCCATTGTCACGACGCCGTTCACCCTTGTATGCCTTGTCATCATTAGAGGGCCATCCAATGAGCTCATAGCAAGTCTCTTTGAAATGGCCGATCTTACCACAATGAGAACAAAGCGGTTTGCCGTCACTAGTGTGTGATCGCGATGGACGTTCAGAAGTGTCTTGGGCCGCAAAGGCTGCCACTTCAGGCGTGGGACGCCTCTTCTGCGCAAGAAGGCGCTGATGCTCATCCGTGGAGACAATATTGTATGCTTCTGTGAGGGTTGGTGAGGGCTTCATCGACAAGATCTGACTTTGTACAGTACCAAAGTTCTCATCAAGCCCCATGAGAAAATCCAAGAGGCGAGAAGCCTCTTCACGAGTGCGGGTTCGAGCTTCCAAACCAAATGTGCACTGTCCACAAGAGTATATTTCTAACGGAGACATCGACTGGGCCTCCTCCCAGATTGTGCGAATCCGAGTATAGAAGGGTGATACCGACAGCTTTTCCTGCCATAAAACACTGAGCATTCGACGAAGCTCATACCCGCGCGTTAAGCTGCCTTGCCCAAAGCGCGCCTTCAAATCAATCCAAACCTCACGGGCTGTTTTAGCGTACCGTACGCTGCTCCTAACCTCCTTATCCATGGAGAGGCGAAGCCAACCCTTGACAACAACGTCACACCGATTCCATGATCGCAATTCGGGATCGGCAGGGGGTTGAGGGAGAGATCCATCAACAAAACCAAACTTGTTTTTAACGATGAGGACATCGGTAACATCAACGACCCACTTACCATAGTTCGAAGACGTAAGCGCTTCACTAACTGGAAGCTGTTCGTTGACGTCGGAAGGATGCAAAAAATATGCGAAAGTCGGGTCGTGTTCGAGGGCTATAACGTCCTTCTTCGAACCAGAGCCTTGGGGCTTCTTCGAGTTCTCATCATCACTCATGATGAACCAATCACAGAATGCTAATCAGTGGATCAATGCTCTGATACCATAATAAATCGTGATGAAACGAATGCGAAAAACACAAGACATCGGGTTTTACGTGGTATCCCTGACGATGTGTCAGGACTAATCCTCGGGAGAGTTGAACCTCTCCAGCTGCAGCTCTTATTACTTAGGGGTCGTTTGGATGAGGAATTCTAATGGATCAATCTGACACAATTGTCTCGTTTTGAGTCAATTGTGCTAGATTGATCCGTTTGGCAGCAGAAAATTTGGATGAAGCAATTCGGGCTGGGGAATTCTGAATTGACTCATTTTGAGCCAATTACAATTATCTGGGGTGGGGGCAGGTAATCTGAATTGACTCGTTTTAAATGACTCGTTTTGTAAAATGAAACAATTGGTCAAATTGTCTCGTTTTACAATTGATCCATCCAAAGACCCCTTAGAACTCGTTACAGTGGCCAAATGGCCTACAGTCTTTATATAGACCATTATGATCTCGGCTACTACTAGGGCAAATACAAGAACGACATGGTTTAGGGCAAATCGTCTCATGCGGCAGTGGGCAGCCCATTACGAGAGCACATGTGGACTTGGGCCGCTGGTCACGGTCCAATACACGGCTCGTAGGTAACAGAGCCATGGTCCCTTCTTTCTTCTATTTATTGATTGACCTGAGAAGGTCCATTGTGCTATAGCGTATCTTGCTGTCCTTTTGGGATATCTATGGAGAAAAAGAAAAAAAGAAAAAAAAGTCAAAGACAATACATCACCTCCTCATTTACAAGTTCAACTCGATATTACATGGCGCTCCCATTAATTGCTATGGAGCGCTAAAGTAAATTTATAACCTAATTGTAAGGACCCCAACAGCTCAGGTACATAACAGTCTTAAGAGACTCCTCTGCTTTCGCCGCTTTCTCTTGCTCAACCATTTTCCTGGCACCCCGATAGCCTTGCGAAGCCGAAGTAGAAGTAGAAGTAGAAGTAGAAGAAGAAAGCTGTCTGGGTTTATGTTGTGAAATTGAAGAGGGCCTAATCTTGTTCTTGGCGTGCTGGTGGATTGACCTGATGGCGTAATTCCATCGGCAGAGGCCTTGGTCTTTCATTGCCTCGACTGCTCCAACAGCCACTGCCGCCATCCATGCTCTGCTACTTGAACTCATCTTAATTGATCTCCTTTTTTCTGGTGGATTGATTCTTTATGGTGCTCCAAGTTGAATAGTTTTTGTCGTGGGTGGGAACAAAATTGGGAATTGGGATCTGGGTTTTGTGTGTTTTTCGATTTGGAGAAGGAAAGAGCAGAGGGATATGGCTTATATAGAATAGTTGGGGGAAATGGTTTGATGACGGGTTAAACAGAGGCGAAAAGCCAGATGTTTGGAGAAAAACCAGGAGCTATAAGGGCGGATGTAGTTGGTGTTTCTTTTGGACTGTAGTACCGTACTATTGGCGACTACAGCTAGTGGTATTTTAGCATAATCAGGGTGTTGAGGGCGGCACAATAGGAAAGTGAAACGAGACAGAGACTAATACCGTTACATTCTCTTGTCACGAAATTCTGGTAACACGTATGGATAGCAAACGAGAGACCGCCGCAGCAGGGATTGAACAGATTATTACAGACCATTTATCCGTTGGCTAGCAAATCAGTACAGTTGAGTAGGGTCGTACGTCCTCTCTTATCCATCCTCCAACTCCCCATACCTTTTATCCGATCCTCACGAGAAAGAGACAAAATCGAATACAGAAAGAACAAAAAGCAGAGACATTCGAGACTGAGAGTGACATATACATTGTACCGGACCAAAGGTTCATGAGAAAACCGCTGGCCCTTAATTGCCCATGCTTCCAAACAATATGCCCACTCTCTCCGTCACATTATATATCCACTTCTCCGCCAATTAACCCACAAAGGAAGAGCATATATCTTCAGCCTTTTGAGTTGCTTTTCTGCTTGATTCGTTAATTAGCGGCGTATAAGAGATGGGTTCAAGTGCGATAACCAGCATCAGAGCACTGCACCAACAAGCCAAAAACAAGATCATGGCGGCACATCATCAACCCAAGCCCAAACAGAAGCCGGCTTCTTCTCATTCGTCTGTGGCTCCTGCGGCAGAACCAAGCCAGCATCTTGGAAGGATTGGACAACAGAGAGCAAAGGCAGCAGAGGAGTCGCTTAGAACAGTCATGTATTTCAGCAATTGGGGTCCGTACACCTGAGCTAATCATGATCAGCATATTCTGGAAAGAGTTATTAAATGTTTGTTAGTTTAATTGTAGAGAGGACCTTATCAGTGAGACACAAAACCTGTAAACTTCCATTGTACACAGGGAAATGAAAGATACGGTTCGTTGCTATATGTATTAGCAACTTTTGGAGAGGCCTAAGTCAGAGGTTAGGGCAGCGAACATCAAACCCAACTTATTTCAGAAGTTCCGTGCAATTTTTTAGTTGGCAAACATGAATCCCTCTACTTGGAGCTTATGGGCAGAAAAGAATCAAACTAGATAGTCTTTTGTGGCTCTGGTGGCAACTAGATCAACGCGTTACATTTTTAAATCCGAGAACTTAATTCAATTCACCCAAATCCTTGATCTCGAAAAGTGTCTGTAACATTGCCTTTATCATCAACATAGACAGCCTAAACTCTAAACTACTAACATTCATGACTTAGCAAAAGACTATAAGGCATAAGCTTGGCATACCACATTTTGCTAGCTTATTTCAAACAATAAAGCGATTTCTTGAGTATGCAAAACCTTTCCTCTCGATTCACTTGGATTTTTCAAATTTGGTGGTAATCTCATACAAACTTCTTTAAAAAAAAATACCACTCTGGTATATAGGTGGTAATTGGTGGTAGATGATGATAAAAATGGTACATACCTCACCATGATACACTTTAATATCATTATTTTTGTTAAAGAGATGTTCATTTAGATTAACAACTGGGCCAAGCCCATTTAGGAAGTGTACAAACAAACCAGTAGAAAAAGGAAAGAAAAAATCCAAAAAAGAGGCATAAAAGAAAAACCCGAGAGCCCAATAGACGCCAGTCACAGAGCCAAAAACAAATCTACGTCTCTCCCAAATCCTAGCCGCAAAGTGCCCCTCTAAAGCTCCTCCATCACCGCGCCTGAGCTCCGCCATAGAGTCTGACCCGTCGCCGCCACCAACTCGGATTAAGCCATAGAACATGCACCCACCCGACCCGAAAGACGAGAAACGGATGAGAGCCACCACCAAACGTCTCATCCCAAGTCAATTGTCGTGCCTTTTCTCGCCTACCACCACGACAACCAAACAAAACAATCCGAAGGCATATGGAGGTGACAGAGGGTAAGAATAAACTTTAATATCACAATGGTATGATCTGGTGTACAATGTTATTTTGGAGAGTTGTACAAATATAGTTCAATTACTACCTAAAACAAAGTTGGAGAAAAGTCTCTATGTATAATTTATAAGTAATGATTATATATAGGAAAGTTAAATTGTAAGCGGTGGTTGTGGAATGTGGACTAGTTTGGCACTGCTGTAGTTTTTGCCGAAACCGTTTTTGTTTAGAGCTTTTAAGAAAGTACTTTTCAAAAAAGTAATTGAGTGTGTGACTGAAAATTATTAAAAATATTTTTTAATATAAGAGATTGCGTAAAATGACTATAAATAATTTATAATATAAAATATGAATAAAAATTATAAACAATAAAAAATAGTCATAATGGATCTTGAAAGATTTTATTTATGTGAAATAATATAATTTTATAATTTTTTTAATTTGAAATAATATAAATAAAATTATATTTTCTAAAATAAATTGAAAATATAAAAAATATAATCTTGTATTTTCAAAATGATTTTTTGTAGAAGCTCAAAATCAAAGTTTCTGCTTTCATGTAATACCAAACACTAGAATTCATTTGATAGTGAGTTCTACACGCAATTCATTTTACTTATATAGATATGAATATGAATATGACGTACCAAACATATGATTTCATTTGACAATGATTTCTACACGGTAATTCATTTTAGAATGAAGGGAACTTCCACTGTATGTCAAGAAATTGCAAGTAGTTTATGCAGTATGGCATTGAGCATCTTGTGCTTAAAATGGTACTGATGTTGTGCAGCATGGATGAGGAACACTCTCAATTAAATCAGCCAAGTTTGCAGAAGTAGGGACACCATTGCATACAAATCTTTTTGAACCATGGACTACCATACCTGTAAGCCTATGTGACAGAAAGCTATGAGGAGCTATTTTCGTGAATCTAGCTCTATCAATTGGAACCCCTTGCTCCCTGTACACCATTTATCTTCCCTCAGGCAGGTTTAGAGAGCTGATAGACAGGGAGACACGTATCTTCCATCGGCTATTTGGTTCCTAAGACAGACTCAATTCACCTCTAAAGTTAGGGATTGGCTTTCTTAAAACCAATAAGGCTGAACCCAAAAGCAGGAGAAAGGCATTGTCCATCAACCTAGATCATACTCTATCTATTCATTCTTGCCCTGACCCAATCCAAATCACTTATCTTGTACAAAATTGCACCGGAACAAACAAAAAGCAGTGTTTGCAGAGTGACTGATGGGTAACCAACCTCCTTGAATCGAATTATGTTAGTAAGCAAATTATGTTAGTTTGAGAAAGAGATGGATATGGAATGAGATGAGATGAGATGAGATAAGAGGTCAATAGAAAAAACAACAACAGAAGGAAAATGAGGCATCTGGATCCTCGGGTATGCTACCTGAAATTCATTTGACACTTGACAGTAGGAAGAGGCAGAGATAATAGAAGGATTTTCGAATTGAGATTTCACATTCTTGAAGGAGAGAAGGAACATAATAAGACTAACATAGGAGCCATCACAACCCAATATTTGGAAACCTACAAACACAGTCAACGCAAATAAGGTGATAGTCACAATGATTAGAAGTAAAAATAGAGTTGCATGGTACAAAAGAACGAAAAAAAAAAACAACCGAAAGATGCAAAGACAATTTGGACTTGTTGGGCAATGAATCGAAATCTCTAACAGGGAAATAAGCATTGGAGAAACTGGTGGATTTGACATGATTGAGACTCAAAGGCTAGAATGAGATGGAAAAGAGAAGAAAAACCAACCCAAATAACCCTCTGTATCACCTGAAGCTTCACCTCTGCAACCAGTAGTGTTGGCCTGCAAAATTGAGTACCAGAAGAAGCTTAATGCCAAAACCAAGCCAAAAATCTCAGACGGGATTAAGGAATAGTTCATGGCCTCTGAAACCGATTCAATCCACACTACCCTCTGTAAGCGTACATGAAGGTTTGGGACTGATCAATGGAGGAAGGAATAAAGAGTTTTTAGATCGGAAACCGTGCTCGACGGTGAGAGGTTCAATATAGCTTCTCCTCCCTCTAGCCTAAAATTTCCCCTTCTCCGGCGTCGGACTTCCTGATGGTTTATTCCCTTCGACGTAGCTCTCACTTCCTCTCGAGCGCGGCCAAGATCAGAGAGACAGAATTGAATCTATTACGTGTATTTATCCGGTGAGAACCTTCACGTAACGTGCGTCGTTGATGTTGAAAGATATTCGTAAGAAAGAGAGTTAGAACGAAGAGAATATTCAGAGGAACGAAAATAACTACAACTACTATTGGGTTCCAATCTTCAACATAACATTAAACGAAAGACCAAGTACATATTTATAGGCATAGAAGCCTCTACCCTATCCTATCTAAAACATGACTCCTACTCCTATAAGAAAATTACTAACAATAATCAAATCCTACTTAGACAAGAAAACTACTAATAAACATAATTAATAAATAAAATACTAAATAATAAAATAACCAAGCCCAGATCGAGGCCCAATAGTTACGATGGTTTGATTCTCGTAACAGAATCCTAGGTGGAGATGAAGAAAGAAAGATTGAGGGAGAGAAGAAGTATTCCCTCGAAAGGGCGATAACAGAAAATTCATGGGAGTTGGCGTGTTGTAGTAGGTGTGTAGATATTGCAGTTTCGAGAAGCAACCGCAGAGATGAGGGGAAGGGATTGCAGATTTTGGATCAGTCCCAAGAGGACAGAGAATGCAGAAGGTATGGCCGCAGTGGTGGCGTGTTAGAGCAACCACAAGGAACCGTCAACTCGGCGAAGCACCCCAGAGTGATGAGATTACAGAAGACGACGTGGGACAGGTGAGCAGGTACGGAAGCATAATCTTCTGAAAGGGGGAGTACCGTCTCGGTCGAGGGCGGGCAAAATTGACGAAGTTGAGGAAGCTCTTCTCAGCTCCATTCAGAAGACGACAAATAATGCAACAATAAGAAGCAAATTTGGGGATAAAGTGTACCTACATTTCATATGTAAAAGAATATGAAATTATGAACTATGAAGCCACTATTTTCCGTTTAAAAAAGAAGTGATCAACCCGTCATTGCCGGGTACCAACCCACTGCTGCTGATAGATTGCTCTCCCAGGCGTGGGGCTGAACATAGTCTATCAAAATATATTGGTATATTACAGACGATTTAAGTTGGATCAGCCGACACAAAGGGCTGCCCGACCGAGGTTGGTATCTTCCTGTTGAGACTGCTTACTTCTCCCTCAAAATCGCGCCCACCCCGATTCCACTACAATTGCGGGTATCGATCTCAACTAGGACCCCAACAATTCAAGTACATAACTTTCTGTAGAGACTCTTCGGCCTGTTGAGCCTCCTTCAATGTATTGGAGACCAATGCGGCAGAGGAAGGCGCAAGGCTCTTCGCCTGAGAGATGGATCTAACATTGGTTTTGGCGTGATGATGAACAGATCTGATGATGTAATTCCACCTGCAGAATCCCATTTGATCTTTGAGTGCCTCCACGGCTCCTATGCTGGCGGCTACCATCCAAGCTTTGCTTGTCGAACTCATAGCTATAGCTCCAATGTAAAGTAGTACTTTTGATGGGCAGTATTTGGAAACTCGAGCGAGGAAGTGATGAGTACAAAGTGATTGTTATCCGTAGTGTTGAATTTGAAGGAGTAATTGAAAGGCTCAGTTATATAATAGTGGGAGGAGGAGGAGTCCAAGAACCTGAGGGTTAGGTAGTGTTGCTGGTTTTCAGTGGGTCGTAGCCCCTAGTTTTCTATGGCTTGTTTGGGAGCTGATGGTATGGGCGATGGAATCTTAAATGTGACTGCTCGCTGCTTGCGTGACATCTGTGTCAACGTGGCAGATTTGGGTGGGATTCAGCACTTGGTTTTCTAAAATCTCGAGGGAATTGGGGGAAAGAAGACAAGGTCAGCCATCCATGGGATGGGAAGAAACCGACACGGCACATGTTTGTTGTTGGAGCCGAGGCAAATTGCGTTTGCATTATTTTTTTTATTTGCTGTAGAATTGCCGAGATTGGATGTGGTCAATCTTGAAGTACGTGCTTTCAATTTACCAATTGAACCAATTCCAGAAATAACCCAGCAGAACAAATTCATGATCTAACTGATACTGCGGATTGATTTCTTTAACCGGATTCACAAACCATGAAGTACTAAATTATTGGAAAGGATCAAAGATGAGAGGATACGAGTAGGTGAAACAGACTACCATTATCCTCCAAGAACTTTCTCTCCCCTGATTCGATTCTTTTTTCCGAAACTCCCCCAAGAGAAACAGAGGAGAAAGATAACAGACATTTTTCGAATAAACAAAGGCAAAAAATTACGAAAAAAAAAATCCCAGCAGTTGGAAGGAAAGCTCGCAGCAGCAGGCTTCATCATCATCATCATCTTCTTCTTCGATTCCCACGCGGTTTCTAGAGGAAGAAAAGAGTGGAAACGAACAAGCAGAGGGGAAGGATACGAATTTATGTGGGAAAAGTTTCAATCTTTTTAGCTTCCATTTTCGTTTTGGAAATCTCCAAAGACATATATATGACAAACACTCATTGATTTGGGAGTTTTTCACAAGCAAATGAAACTTCGTTTCCAGGGTACAGGGTCCAATTTTCCGAAAACAACTATCTGTATCGTTGAGAGAAGCACGCCGTTTATCATGAGTAAGGACCCCAACAGCTCAAGTACATGACTTTCCTAAGAGACTCTTCAGAATTTTGAGCCTGCTTCAACTTGCCGGAAGTCATGGCGGCAGAGGAAGCTGGAGCCAGGGTCGTTGCCTGAGAGATGGATCTGACGTTGGACTTGGCGTAGTGATGGGCTGATCGGATGATGTAGTTCCATCTGCAGAAACCCAGTTGGTCTTTCAGTGACTCCACTGCCCCAATGCTTGCCGCCACCATCCACGCTTTGCTTGTTGAACTCATCGTATATATGTATGTATGTAGCTTCAGAAGGAAGTTGGAGAGAAGTCTTGCGTATACTGATTGCCTTTGGAAGGAATATGATCAGAAGATTGCCGGAGTCTGGAAATCGAAAAGGGATCGAGAAATGATTTGAATTTGACTATTGAAGCTTTGAAGAGACCCATTTGGTATTTTATAATGCAAGGAAGGAGAAACCTGATGAGGCTATGGGCGGCCCTGGTATTGTGAATATGATGGGTGGTGGAATTTTGAGGAGTGGAATGACTTAATTATCATTCCATGCGTTGTGATGCGTGGGATGGTGATGGGGGTAGAATGGGAATTGCTCGCCCGCGCATGGCTGTCTTGACTCTTTGTTGGTAACGTGGCATATTGGGCAGGGTTTCAGCCCACGGATTCAGCTGAGGAAACTAGAAAATGGTGTCCCTGGAATTGGGGGATACAATATGACCGGACAAAACCAAGCTCGGGGCTTCCTTTTCTGGTTTAAGGTCCGGATAAAACGATTACCTCGTGTGGGGTTTTCTTAATATAATTGAGATTTAATTATCACTCGATAATATTTTTTTATTAGTTTTTATTTTATCATTTGTGATATTTGATACGGGAGGTTTGTTGGAAATGAAGCGTGAATAGTTTTGAAAACTATATATCCTGAGGAAAGATTACCATATTGGTGGGTAGTGGTAGACCGTGAATTTTCGTAAAGGTGTGTCGGTCGGTAAAATTAAATAAAAATTAAATTATATTTTATTGTGAAACACAACGAGAAGTGGGATCGAAAGAGGTAAAGGGAACACTAGGTTTTTTTATAAGATAGACAATAATAAAGAGCGGTAGTCCATATGCAACCGGACTCCCGATGAAAGAACATTTTTTTGTCACTAGATGGACAACTATGTGAAAGCTACAAGGATCAAGAAGAAACAAAACTTATTCAAGTAGAGAGAAAAAAAGATAAAACTTCCTTACGATTACCCATATTTAAGACCTAAGAGCAATAAATAATTGCGTCTAAATGCTTAAGCAATAGAAAGAACCCCAAATTTGTCATAAGTTAACTAAAAATTAAAATAAATAATATATATTTATTTTGGGAACTTTATGACACTAATTTCATCATAGTGTATTGAAGGTGTGTCAATTACAATAACTGAATGTGTGTCGGAAGTCCTAAATTCTAAAAATTATACCGACAAAACATGGTTCTCTCACAAAATATTCGGGCGAAGGTGTGTCGCTTGACATACCTCCCTAACACATGGGCCCGCTCCTGTTGGTGGGAGAACTCCTACCAAATGGTTCAAAAGAATCACCACGTGCACGCACTGTCTGTTTGTCGGTCAAGTGCGTAGGCGGGTTGGTGGGTCAACTTGAAACTAATATTTTTTGGCAAAATTTTAAAATTATTTATTTATTTTGTATCGGTAATTACCAATACAAGGATAATTAACTCAAAGCAATATTCGAGGGATAATTCGACAAGAATTATCATACTGGACCCTTTTTAATTAAGGAAGTAATTATCTTCTTAATTAATACACCTTATTCGCCAAGGCAGAGGGTATATTCGTGGCGGTTTGACTACTATAAATAAATGTCTCCTAAATCACTCTAGACACACCACAAACGAGTAGGAACACGAGAGAGAGAGAGAGAGAGAGAGAGAGAGAGAGAGAGAGAGAGAGAATTTAAGTAGCCCCGATTTTTACACAAAATCGCCGAGTTAGAAGAGAAGGTTGTTTTATCCTGGAGGTGACAGGTGGGTAGAATTTTCGTGCGCAAAGAGGCAGTGTTACGATTAGGGCTGATAAATGATTATCCCGTTAACGGTGTAACTGATAACCGAAACCGATGCTTAACGGTTACACCGATAACCGATTAAATAGTAAACGGTCGGTTCTTGGTAGCCAAATTTAGTTAATAAATAACCGATGATTAAACAGTTAATAATCGACGGTTAACCGACTAACATAAGCCAAAATAACGGGGTGCTTGAAGGCTTACAAGACCCCTTCTCTATCCTAATTGTAATAGTGATTTAGACTCAAGTGAGAATAATTTAAAGGAAGAGTTTCATAAGTAGAAAGTCAGACTTGCGCACAATTACTCGACAACAATCAGTAACATTAAGCTTCCATGTAATTTGGTGGGGTTTACGAGTTGAGTATTTGTTATTGGATCTCTTATCGTTGTATGCTTCTTTAGCAAAGTTTGACGGTAGAATGGTGTTATCGTGTACTTGTGTTGGATTGAGTTGATTATGTATTGATATATATCTATGTTAAATTATTGTGTATTCAATGATAACAACTTAAGAAAAGAACACATGTGTATGTATCAAAAATTACAGAAAATTTCACCATTGAAAAAAGGTCTTTTGTTGGTAAGCTTTCTATCGGTTATTTTGGTATAACCTTAACAAATCACTTGGTTAATGGTTATCTTCATAGATTGTAAACATGCATTAAGCGAAGATTTAAAAAGCAGAGGACTTTTCACGGTTAGCTAGCCTATTATCTTCTGAAAACAAAGTTTAATACGTGATTTATAATTTTTATAACCTGTAAAATGACGGGTAATTTTAAAATTGCAATACAAACTTCATTGCTTGAAATATTGCATATCGAACTACAGTATTGAATATGAAAAGTGATGTAGAATTTTGTAAATTAATATGAATTTTCAGAACTAATATGAAAAAATAATATTTTGTACAAACTATAAGTGACTGGTTCTATAAAATTTTAGCCTGGTTAAATACTATACGTTAATCAATTTATAGGGCATTAACATATAAATGGGTTATAATTAACCTCATTATAAAATTTTTACTCTTTATGATAATTAATTTAATCTTAATATTTGTGATGCTTGAAATATTTTATGTATGATTTTGAGGTATAATTATTATTTGTGACATCCGTTGTAGTTTAATCAAATGTAGTATTCTATTAGGTAGTCAAAATCGAATACATAGTGCATTTATGACTGTTTTTATTTTGGTGCTGTGAATAGGTAAAACTTAATTATTACAATGCATATAACTATACCTAAGCACATGGTCGATCTAACCATGAAGACAATGTATATGGATTGGCCATTTACAAGCATGAATGCTTCATGTGTCGTACCAGACTTAAACTTCAAGGGCTCGCACACAAGTTCGAGCACCATACAGTCTATATTGGTGAACTCATATTTTATGGAGAAATGCACCATTTGATACAAATAAAACAAAATATTCTATAAATAACATGTAAATTTTGAATTAATGAGTAGTTTCTCACATTAAGGTGTGACGGCTCATGTTCTTAAATATTTATAAAATACATTCATTGTTTATTTTGACACTCAAACCTTTTTCAATGTATACAACTAAAAATTCATTTATAAATTCATTCTTGATTAACTTAATAGTTGAAAAGTCTATTTTACAGCTTGCAGTCATAACAAACAACATCAACAATAGCTTTAAAAGTAAGTAAAGTGAAGAAGAAATTGTGATTTCGTATTTCTTTGCAAATGTGTGTGGGGAGGGGGGAGATTTTTTTTTTGTCTAAAAAATTTGAGAAAAGGTGGAAACTCATATATAATTTGTTTGAATATTTAATATTGCATATTGGATAGGAGTATTGAACATTTTGGAAGAGATATATAATTCTTAAATTAGTTTAAATTTTCAGCCCGGTTGACCAATAGTTTTAGACCTTTTGCTAATCTGACATGGATCCAATAATCATAAGATAAGATTTAGTTTGAAATGGCGTCGGTTCAAACCCATATTTTATGTGTAATGAATTTGTACGACAAATATATGTAAAGTGAAGATGAACCTGATTATGCATTTTGATTCTTTATATAAATACAGTGCTTTAAAGCTTTAAGCGATAAACTAACTATACACTCACTCGATTGGTTTAACGAGTTCTGTTTTTTATCACTTTTAATAATTAGTTTATTCACAAGCTATCAAGCTACTTTGTTCCGTCGATGAATAAGCGATCATCTATTCGCCAAGTTTCAGGTTCTCTGATTCACACTATCGATTGTGAATGGAGAAGAAGCATTTCGAACGCAAAATTGGAGAAGCAATTGGGTTGTTTCTAGGTTTCTCTAGATTCCCGACTATGAGAAGATATAGGAAGGGAAAAGGAGGAGAGCTGTGAGATACAAATTTGGGAGAGAGAGATGGAAGAACAAATGGAAAAACAAAGAGTGAGAGGACACATTTAAAAGAGGAGGAAAATGAGGTAGTGTGAAATAATTGTCCTTCTGTTTTGATTAGTGAATATTTTTTGCTCTATTATGTTGAGTTTTGATTTATTTTAGGAGATGACATTATATTTGTTGGGGGAGTGAACATGGGCCGGCCCAGAAGGGAGAAGCCCAAGATAAGTTATTATGGACTGGAGGCGCGGGCCCAACCAAGAAGACTTAGAAAGCCCATGGGAGCAGGAACCTTGGGCTGAAGGGCGCCCGGACCTGGGCCTGGGTGGCTGAGATAGCGCGTGAGACAGGTGGGACCGGGCACCTGGCGAGGGACATATGAGACAAAGGCAGCCAACGGTCGGAAGTGTACGAAAAGCTGATCAGGTGATGTCATGCGCCTTCAACCTCTGAACGAAGCGTCAGATGGTCGAGGCGCATGGTCTAGGGGTGTACGGCGCATTTATGGCGGGTCTGACACAGGGCGAGAACGACGTGTACCAGTCGATCTCACGTCGATCTCGCCCCGGGTATAAATAGTCGAGTAGGTAAACCTCATTTACTCAATTTTGCTTCTCTTACTAGAACTGTTTCTTCACTTCTCTCTCTAAAAAGTAGGTTCTTACTTGAGCGTTGGAGTGCTAACGGGCCAATTCGGTCCGCTAGGCGCTTGTGTGGGTGCAGGGAGGCGGCTGAGCAAGCGGACGAGGGGGCTCGGAGCGTGAGGCGTGTGAAGGGGGGGTACTGGGCATAAACAATTGGCGCGCCAGATAGGGGGGTATAACCATCAA